CTAAAAATAGGCCAAGATATGCCTGCAACACCAGTTTCTCCAGTGACAAAATCATCGAAACTTCCCTCGAAATCTCTCATCACTTTTCTAGTTCTCTCACATCACAATAATTGATCACTAATCTCATGGGGCAGCCGCCTGACCCTATAACATTTGGTATCGGGAAACACATAGGAATTAATTCCTAAGGTAGGGGGCAATCAACATCACAATAATTGATCACAATCCTATGAAATAATATATCATCAGGCAATGATAGAAAGTCATACACAGACATCCTTCAATTGAAATAAACAATAGAAAATAGAAAATTGTAGCACCCTATCGGTGAATTTTCGCTAGAAAGTACTCATGGGGGACCACTGCACAATACTCTCAGTCTAGAACAGTAACAGAAAAATATGTGCTTAAGAGAAATTTAACTTAATAACTCAGGAGCAGAGACAACTGAGAATATTAATACCATATACCAACATCAATGAATCAATCTAACCAAAGGAGAGGAGTAAGAGTAACTTTAGATATAAAAATTAGTCAAACCCCAACCTAGGCTAAAGATACTCACTGGACGCTTGTAAACAGGCTCGGGCTTCAAATCATCATTCCATAAGACCGCGGTATCAGAACCAGAACAAATAACAAACTGATCATGTGCTTTATCATCAGTAAGCCACTGTAGAAGATTTTCCTAAAATGTTCATAAGTAAATAGCGTCATGCTTCCATGATAGTAAACAATGACAAGTCTATGTAACATAGCATTAAGCATGGAACTTCTCAATTCATAGCACAACTTGATCCATAAAATTACACATCCTCCCAATAGTTGCTTTCCCCATATCAATTCTACGGACCAGTTGTCACCAAAGCTCTTTGATAACCTTAGCATTGATCCATAAAATAATACCTCAGAATTGTCTTCAGATTTCTTTCAAGTTTACCCTGGCAATTAACGGAGGCTTACAACTGAAATGTGAATATTCGGCAGGAAACAGATAAGTTTATGTATACTTCAACAAACCTTCAACAGAAGAGCTGCAAATGCATTCAGCAATGTTGGAAGGTCTATTCCAGTCCTCTTTAATGGTTCCATGTTTAGAACATAGTCTTTTCCTAAGCGAGCAGGGTTGTTCCTGATAGAATCACAAGATTGAATGTTTCAGGCGTGTGTTCTCTGTGCAGAACAACCAAGCTTTTACCGCTATCTAAACATCAATTTACATTAGCAATCTTTCTCCAAATCAATTAGGTCCAAGCCATGACTAGGTTGACTAGATAAATCTTTGGGATGTGATTGCACCGCCTCACTTTGATGTAATTTGTGAAGAATCCTCCAAGTTACAGCATCAGGGGCTAGCCCATTCTTTCTCATCTCTGTAACCAGTTGATATGCTTCTCCTTTAAATCCAAACTTACACGCAGTATTGATCACAATATTGTAGCAGAAGATATTTGGTGAAACCCCAGAATCTGCTAGTTCATATAGGAAATGGCACGCTTCATTAAATTTTCCAGAGTTGCAAAGCCCTTTTAGAATAGCAGAATAAACAAAACTATCATGAATCTTTGACGGCCAGACTATATCTTTCCAAAATCTCTTAGCTTCTTCGATTTTATTAGAATCACATAACCCATCAATTACCACAGCATAAGTTGTGCTGTCAGCCAGGACACCATTATTAACCATTCTATCAAAGGTATGCATTGCTTGATTTTCTTGTTGCAGTTTAAACAAGCCTCGAATAGTGGCATTATATGTAACAACACCCGGCATAATGCCCTTTTCTGGCATTACTTTATATAATATATCAAGAGATTCTCGAATCCTCCCAACATTCAGTAAGCCACATATAATAGTCGTGAAGGTCACATAATCAGGAACACAAAATTTACCAATCATCATATCGTTTAATACCTTTAGAGCTTCTTCAATGCTTCCAGTCTGGCAAAATCCCTTGATAACTATATTCAAGGTAATAACATCGGGTTGACAATTGGTTTGAAGCATTACAACAAGCGTGTTTAAGAGCTCGGTTGAGTTATTTGTAAGGCAGACAGCCCTCAAGTATATGTTGTAAATTCTAGTTCTGTTGACACCTTCCTTGTCTATCATAATTTGAAGAACTACCTTTGCCTTTTTGAAGTCTTGCTCTAGGCAAAGACCTTCTACAAGAACCTTATATGTATGTTCAGATGGTGAGTACCCAAATTCAGTTCCTTCTACTAACAACTGATAAGCCCGCATACAGCTTCCCTCCTTGCTGAGGCCGTGGATAATAGAATTATATGAGAGTAAACCAGGATTAAACCCTCTCTTCCTCATTATATACACAATTCTTGAGGCCCCATGATGTCTTTTAGCTTTACAAAGTGAATCTATCATCTGCCCATAAGCAAATTCCTCAGGCACACTCTGCCCTTGAGGCATATCTTCTGCGATTAAAAACACCTCGTGGAAAGAATTTGATTGGCACAAAGAATCAATAAGATGCGCAAGGGCGGCACTGTTGGCAAAGGGATCCCTTGCCCGCTTCATCTTTTCCCAAAGCTTGCACATCAACACCCTCCCGGTTCCAAAATCCCGCTTGCAAAGAAAACCATTAATTAAAACACTATAAGTAAGAGAATTAGGCTCCACACCATTCTCAGGCATTTCATCAAACAGTTTCTTTGCAGCAGAGACATTACCAACACGGCAGTATCCATCAATCAAGGTAGTATATGAAACAGCATTTGGGCAATGCCCTCTACCCACCATATCAAATAAAACCCTATGGGCTACATTTGGTAGCGAAAACGAACAAAACTGATAAATCAATCGATTATAATTCACTATAGAAGGAACAAACTCAGGCTTAGCATCAAACAAGCAAATAAGCAAGCGCAGAGTGTTAAACGGAGATCGAAAATCAAGCAAACGAGCAATAAGAACATTACACGTCCGTTCATCGGGGACGCACCGAGAAGCAACAGAGAGCATAAAACGGCAGTGGGCTTCATGGAAGCGGCGAGCATCACAGAGACCGTGGATTATGCTACCGAGATTGAGAGGGTGCAATTGGTAGCCGTGGAGGCGGAGATCGTCGAGTAGCCGGATCGCTTCATCGACGTTTCGGTCCTTGGTGCAGAGGCCGTGAATCTTCTTCGTCCAGTAGGAGACGTCGGCGATGCTCTCCTCCGGTGCCCATTCCCGGCCATCCGTTCCATTTTCCGGTAGTTGGTGGAGCTGCCGTTGGAAGGCGGCGGTGGCGGTGGCGGTGAAGAGGAGCGAGAGAGGCGGCGATATGGCGATGATTTTGAGAGAGTTTTTGATGGAGAGCGATCGATTTTGGGCGGCGGGAAACATTGCAGCCGCATTCTTGTGGGTCAAGGCTTTAAAATTGGCGGTACAAATATTTCGTTCGCATTCCCCTTGGCAGATGCGACCAATAGGGCATCCTTGCTTTGAAGAGGACTTTTTCGGAAAACTAGTTTAAATTTTAATGCTAAATTACAATATATATATTGCCTTTTATCTTTTTAAAAAACACTACCGACTTTCAAAAGTTTCAATATTATCGGTTATCAACATTTCAAAAGAAATATTTGAACAAATATCTGTTACTATTTTGAATGGTAAGTTTAACATGTATTGTCACTTTTTTTACTTTAATTAAGAAAATGGCTCTTTTCCTCCTGGCAAATATAAACACAAAAGACAACTCTTACCCTTCAAATTTCAAATTAAAAAAGGGTAAAACAGCCCCAAAAATCCTCAAAATTGAGCAAAACTGAACATGTAAAAAGTCCCAAAAAGTGTTCCCAGAACAAGCCCCAAAATGCTTCGATTTTTCAGCAACAATAACAATGTAAAACATTCCCAAAAGGTGTAAAACAATCCTAAAACAAGCTCAAAACTGCTTCAAATTTTCAGAAATAAAAATAATAACAATGTAAAAGCAGTCCCAAAACAACCCAGAAACAACTTCAAATTTAAACAAAACATGTAAAACATCCTGAACATTTGTATAAATACAGTCCCCAAAAACTTTTTTTTTAGTACAATATGTGTGGGTGGGGGTTTGAACTCATGACCTTTTGGTAAGAGATAAGTGTCTTAACCACTCCAGCTAGGCTCGATTTGGCACAGTCCCGAAAAGCTTCGATTTTCAACAGTAGAAGGCATATAATAAGCTGCCCAAAAAACTTCTGTTTATGCAGAAAACTAGACAAGGACAGACATGGTCGAGGTCGGACACGTGGACTTGCTAACTCGGAATGCCTAGAGATGACTTGTCACAAGAGGAAAAACCTCTCTAACGTTCAAGTAAGTAAAACAAATCAGACTCAATATAAAGTTCAAGGAGAAAATAGATACCTGGCGCGAAAATGGAGCCCTCTATTTATACCTAGGGATGACTTGCACAAGAGGACAAACTCTCTAACGGTTATTATTGTCAGATGGCAGGTCAGACATGTCGGACTCGACACGTCGGTCCTTGGAGTAGATCGGACCGTTTATACGAATAACATGGCAAATAAATGATTAAGTGTCCCGCCTCGAAAGGTTTGAGGTGGACCTGGTTAGATTCTCCCCTACGTGGGCCTATGCCTGTCCTCCACGTGGCGTGGTGATTTTCCTCTTCAAACATTGGCACCCTCTCTAGCAGGTTTGAGGTCAACCTGGCAGAGAAGTCCTCAGTCATTGTCGTACTTGTATATTATACTATGCTCTGACGTAGTCCGAAAATCGCCGTACACGTTCCAAAAATCAACGGCACGGATTTCACAGTATACCGAACGTCAGCACACTTGAGTGCTCTAACAGTTGTCACTTCAATCCTTCAACTACCCCAACAGATATAAATTTCACCACGAACTCAGAAGTCACCACTTCGGCGGATTTTCTAATATATCAATACCATCGAAGTATATTTGCATATTGTCTACGCAAAGTATGGAATAACACACTAAATCACAATATTTACAAATCTCAATTTTAAACACTAGATTCAAGATACAAATTTTAGTGGCTTTTAGACAAGCACACTTGTGTTCTGTGATGCATACTCAATAGAGTATTAAACATAACCTACCACAATAACTTATGCATATAGTAAGTACACCAATACAACAAAATTGATCAATTGAATGAAATTACTGGGTACAAATGTTGGTTAAGAAGCACAGATCAATTAGAAAATTACAATACACCCATGCCACATGACAAATCAATATGCAATCTAGAGCACAAGTATAAAATTGGAAAAGGCAATTTTGTAGTTCACCAATGCCATGTGATGAATAACAGGTTATAACAAAATCGAGACAACCTTGCATAACCAGAAAACAAATTGTGACAACTTAAATAGTGCATTTATTTCAAACCACCAAAAACAACCATGCATAACAATAGCATGATCATAAAAAAATAAAATATAATTCAAAATTGTCTTAAGATTGTTACAACGCTGCTGTAGGTTGTTAGAGATATATGTAGAGGAAATTTAAGGAAACATGAAATTAGACAATTTGAACCTAACGACAGTGTTGTTTCCTTAAGACAATTTTGTTCCGTTTGTGGTGCTCAAGGTTTCACGAACAATTGTCTCTCAAGATAGGATGGATTTACCGACCTGTGAACGCAGCACTTCACGCACAGGACTTAACGAACCTTAGTATTTAAGTAATCGTATAGAGGAACAATGAAGGAGAATTTGAGGGAAGTTTTTTTTTTCTCTATTTCCAAAATAGACTATTTATGGTTATTCAAATAGTCACATATTTTCGTATAAGGTTATGTCTTTTGATAAAGAACATATCCTTTCATATAAGGTTGTATCATTTACAAAAGACACGTCCTATCACAAAAAGTTGTGTTTCTTTATTTTATCAAAAATTAATTTTATTAAAAAAAATCCAACAGTTATAACCATAGATTAATGACTTTGCGGTCCAGTATTATACAAACTCATTGATACCTCCACTTGCATGTCTCCACACGGACGACCTGGATGAAATCGTTTGTAACTATTACAAAACGGGCAGTATCCATAGTGTTACCAGGATAAGGTACCCAACCTTATCTATGTACTAGACCATTTAGATTATTATTGGAACATTATCCACATGTATATCGAATATATACTGTATATCAAATATATACTGCTCCAATTATATTAAATAACATAGGATCTTAGTTTATTAGAATACAAGTAATGCAAAAAAATAACTTTTATTGAAATACAATAACTCTTTATTGAAATAAATTTTTTAGTAATTACAAACACAGATATCACATTCGTTCTGTTGGTGCACTATTGAAAAAAATTGATGAAAGAAAAAGAGAAGAAAAGTAGCATTGCATTAAGAAAAAAATCTACTTCATTTAGTAATAAAGAGAAGATATTTGGAGAAATTTGTTGCAAGAAGCAATCAATTAATGGTACTTTTCCAAGGTCAAATGTACTCGAAGACGAGGGTAAATAATTCAAGAAAACAATAGTACATTGTGTTCATTGTCTCATGTGATTATCATGCAACTTATTATCTTTGCTATCTTGACTGTGAGTCTTTAAATTTCCTTTTATCTCACCCTTACCTAAGTCTCATTATAACCATTATCAAAGTCTCTTTGATTTTTGCATTCAATTCATTTTTAAGTGGGGAGATTTGATTCATTTGCAACCATATGGTAATAACATGCTTTGTTTTTATTTTGAGAGTTAAAAACACCCTAAAAAACACTTTAAGAAATTTGAGTGAAACTCTGTGAGAATGTTAAGTCTTTTGTATTTGATTTCAATAAGTTAATGAGATGCTTGAGTTTTTAAAAATTATATCATCTCATTGCTTATTCTCTTGATTGTCATTTTGATTTATATTATATATGTGTAATTGACTTTACTGGTATTATTGGATATTGGAAAAGATGGAAGAGGATTAGAAATGAGAGTTGGTATGTTGAGTTATAATATATTTGGGGAATAAGCACAATTTAGGTGTGGGAGAATTTAATAAGATGAGATTTACACACATATTTAACTTTTCTGTATGATGCACGAGAACATGGGATATGAAATAGTTACGTTTGTTTGAGGACAAACAAAAAGCTAAGTTTGGGGGTATTGATAGTGCACTATGTGCTCTACATTTCATGAGATTTATGTTACAATATAATTACTTCTTAGTTTTGATTTCTTTATGTCAGATTTACGCACATAAGATATATTTTGCATAAACAAATAATCGAGAGGAAATGGGACATAAGTGGATCAAATTGAGGTGGAAATCATAGCCTGAGCTAGTAAAGAACACATTACAGCACTTATTGGAGTCCAAATACTCGAGAGAACAGCAGCATGGCACTTAAAAACGCACCACGAAACTTGTAGCCAACAAAACAGAAATTGGAAATTTTGAACCGAGAGGCTATCGCCTATGCGTGGCGCTCCAAACTTTCTTTCCGCTTTGCCTTTTCATGTGCAACACTATGACAATATCGCGACTGTTTTCTCTTTAAATTAGGGTTTTCAGCTGTCATTTGGGACCTTTGACACACTTTTGGGAGAGATACACGAGATAACTCGAAAATAGAGGGAAAATGAGCATCAAGGAGCTTAGAGAAGAGATTTTCAAGGTTTGAGGTCGTGGAGATTGAATTCGGGACGATCAATCAACACAATGGATTTAGTTTATTTCTTTTCCCTTAATTTATGTAGTTTGTCGTGGAACTTTGTTTGAGACTTTGTTGCTTTACATTGAATATGAGTAGCCAAGTTCCTTTTGTCTTAGGAATTGATGTAACCATTGAACTTTATGGATTGATTGTTTAGTTCTCTTGATTGAATGTTTATAAATATTCTATTTATGCTTCTCTATACTTAATGCCTTTAATCTATTGGCCATATATTGATTGATTGTAGACTTGAAATTTTACGCTCAAGAGAGGTGGTTGAGAGTTAGAACCGAGATGCATAACTAACGAGGTTTTATAATCGGATGATTTAGAATTCCTTTAGAGGTTGTTAAAATATTTGTTCAATATAGCTTTTACTTGTAAATACGGATATTAGTTTCTTAATTGGTAAGAAGAATTAGCTTGCGCACGGGAGAGGCAATTGAGAGTTCTTGGCCTATAGAATTAATAATTCGTTCAATCTTGAATAATTAAGTAGTTGGTTCATAGATTCAATAGGTGAAATCAATTCCATAGGACCTTTCTCCCCATTATTTTATCTTTATTATTGCATATTTATTTGTTTTGATTCTATTCTCTCATTTAATTTTAGTTCTCTAAATAAAATTGAGCGATTGTATCTGTGGTACTTCAGTGAGCTAGAAACCCAATTTAGAGGACGATATTGATATTCACTTACAAACTATATTAAAACTTGACTCATACACTTGAGTCAA